GAGTTCAACGAATACGGGCCAGCCAACTGTTCACGACGCAGGTGGCGGCGGGCTTCACCAGTCTCAGGTGGATAAAACCACTCGTCAGGCTTGATGTCGGAGTATTACTCCGGGAGTAATCCTTAGGCCAAGGAAAAGGCTTCTTCGTTCGGGAATGGCCGTACTCCCATTGTCGCGCGAACGGCCTCGTACTTGTAGATGTGCTGGACCAGGGCTTCAGGCTTACGAAGACCATACGATCGGGCCGGAGAGGCATTACCCGGGCGGCCCGGCCCGGGCCAAACGCTGAACTTGATGTAGAGCTCGCTCGCAATGACGCTGACAACAACATAATACTGAGCAGTCACCTCTTACCGGACCGTCTATGTGCCCCTCTTTACAGTGAAGGAAGACGGCTAAAGCAGTAACCCTTCCACAAATCCTTGAGACCTCCAAGCTCAGTGAGATCCGTAGACCTTAATATCGTCATCAGATAACCACCACACATCTCCGCGACCAGACCGAACCGAAAAGCGTGCGACTACATCATTGAATGGTACATGGGCAGAGGTTTCAGAGCATCCCTCAGCCAGGATGAGGAACACCAGCTCGTTGTAGAACTTGATCAGTGTTCCAGTTAATGGCTTCGGTTACTAGGCGAAGTAACCGAAGCCACAGGCCGATCTTCGGAAAAACGCTACGTTCTGAACGCACCTCCAGCGAACGCTTCCCCAAACCATCTTTTTCTTTCTCGAAGAGCTGGTCGTTGACTACCAATCTCACCGGAGGAGTTGTCGAACTCATACAGGCCAGTAGACCTTCTACAGGGAACATACGGGATTGCTCCAAAACTCCAATCTCTTCCAACAAGCTGGAGACAGCGGTCGCAACTTCAGGTAGTACTACGAACGCGGAGGCCGAGAGGCTCACCTCCTCTTCTAGAACCGGGCGGAAGCTTTCGACGTTTTTTTCCATACGTCCTCAGAGACGCAACGCAACGCCTATTACCGGGGCGTTACACGCCTGTTGGCGTATCGCCCCAAGGGCGTTGTAGGGCCTACAACGGCTAATGCATGCTAAAGTGGTAAAGAGCGGCAGTGAAATCCCCTGTCATGACAGAAATAAAGGAGGAGGGGTCGATAAAAACTAACGGGACCAGCGGACGGGAGTCTCCCAATCCCACACAGCAAGAGTAGGCAGGTGGGGGTGGCTAGCTTGGGCAAGGGTGAGTGAAACGTGAAGCAGTTCCTTAGTCGAGTAGAAGAGCATGAAGAAGTAGTTGTCTTCGAGTTCGGGCTGTATCGCTGTAGAGATGAAGGATGGTCGGAACCGAGTAGGCAGAATTGTTGCATAGTTTGAAGTTTCCCAGAATAATAGAGTGCTGTGTGGGAATACGCGGGAGAGAGTCCTCTGGAATTCTAACAGAGGGGCGAAAATAGCAGAAAAAATGACAACGGTAATGTTGGGTATTATCAAGGACAACTGTGGCAAGGATACAGGATAAATAGTGTGAGCCAGTATAAGTAATGGTATACAAATGGTGATAGGTAAGATCGTCGCGGATTAGTGAGACCAGACCACCGCTGCCACGACCACGGGAAGACCGCTGAGATGTCTCCGGAACCGATGACGAAAGCAGATCGTCGACGTGATAGCCA